ATAAACTTGGAAGTTACGTAGCTCAGATTAGCTTTGCAAAGAATTTAAAGTATGTCTCTTGCTCTTACAGCCGAGCTTAAGATACGCTTCTTGTGCAGTAGAAATTGTGCATTGAATTGCAAATTTGAATTTTTACTTCGTACATCTCAAGAATACTCAAGAAAAGGTTTATTCATACATACGTACGTATCTTTTTTTTTATTATATTTCCTCTATTTTTTTCTTTTCATAAATGAGTCAAACACGTCAGAACTGATAAAAGCTTTTTGCGAATTTTTTGTACGATCTCTTAGGCTGTAATATCAATATAAGTCGACATCTTGCATTGAAAAAAAATTTACTAAATCTTAATATATTTTTGTATAATAGTACTAAGAAAATATTTACTTACAATAAATAAATGTTTATTCAATAAAGAGTAATAAAAGAATAATAAAAGAATTAAATCAAATTAATGATTTTTATATTAAATAAATATATGTTTATATTTAGTAAATATTTATTTAGAGTTATTCAAACAAATATTATTAAAGTTTAGTATTTTTTCAGTATGTTATCGACTTTATGTTATCAACTTTATTGTTATAAAACACACACACACACACACACACACACACACACACACACACACACACACACACACACACACATATATATATCACAGTACACGTATAATTAAATAATCTGAAAATGATTATTACTTAGATATTCTTCTGATATCGATTACCTCGTTTCTTAATACTGTTTATATATTTCTAGTTAATGTATGCAAATCCTTTTTAATTACATTAGATCTATGTATTTGATTTATATACACACATTCACCGGTATTTTGTATGGCATAATAACGTTTCGCGCTGCTTATTTATTATTTATAGCTTTAATTTATCATTTAACTACTCATATTGCTTTGCAGTTAATATTTAGATAACGAGGTTCAAAAGCTCTTTTCTTATCGCAGTGTAAAGTCTCTACTTTCGTCGAGAGCGATTCATTGGCAATTGTTTCAAGAAATTGAACTTATAATTTAATATCATAACAAGAATTTAATATTGTGAATCGAACTACAATATTTGTATCTCCTTATCTGTATCTCCTTAATATTATTACCAATATAACTGCAGGGAGATTTAATAAAACTAACAGTTAGAGAAGTCAAATGAGTTTGAATCTCATGAGATCCGTCGTGTTGAAATCTCATGGCTGACTCATTCGATCTTGAACTACTGCATGAACGAAGTAGAGACCAATTCTACTTATACTTCAATTCTTATAAAGAATTTAGTTAAAGCAATCGTAAGATTTGGGCTCTGCTGATAATGAGAACAATGCTAACGTTGTACCTACATCTTGTATTACTTTAATTATTTAGTTAACAACTTTTAATGGAGTTAATGTCAATTTTTAGCATAGATATATAACGTTCCATTTTTTCTATTTCTCTTCAAGGAATTTATATGAAAAATGTAACGCTTAAATTTTAATTTTTCTTTTTGTGAAATCGTAGCTATAAATAGATTTTTCATTATCTAAATAGCGAACTCTTTAAGAAGCCAGCACAAGTGAAAGAGAATGACTTTTCCATAAAATTCCAGAAGCATCAAACTTTTAATGAAAAAAGCTTTCGTAATTTAGAAGTAGTGATTAAAAATAATAGTAATTGTATTATAAATGATATTTTAACATAACTTTTATTTCTAATTCTCATAATATCTCGTATGAATCTTGTATTTTATGCTCGAAATTTGTCGCTTGTAGCATTTCTTCGGTAATCTGTAATGATTCCGATTAATAATGACTTTATCATCCGCACGGATTTAAGTCAGGCATACGAAGACTAGCGCTTTCCTCGAGTACCGTACAGCATATTGTACGCGGTGCCGTCAATCTCAGTCGAGTAAATAACTCGCGGAGCTCGCTCCTATTAATATACAATAATGCTAACACATCAAGTCCCTTGTACATTCTCGGTACAAGTTCGTGAAACGTCGGAAATTTTCGTGTAGAACCAAGAGAGAACCCTGTGCACTTCGAACATACATATAGTTTGTCGCGTGGCTCTTGACACATACGAGGACCGCTAAAAACACTCGATGTGCTGGGGATGACTGGTGTGCAAACAACTGTGGCATTTTCGGTTTCGTGAAAAACTTTTATATTTTGTACTATTTTATGACTTGTAGTAATAACCGTAGTAGTCCAAACCATCGTGAATGTTACGTTGAAATATTCAATTTGATTCTCGATACGAGAGCTATTTTGGGACGTGACATTTCGGCGCCGCACCTCCTCGGGGATAGTTCATTCAATAGTGGTTCACAGAGAAATTTGCATTTGTAAAAGTACATAGTGCGGGATATCGCATTTCACGTTCAATTGTACTGCAAGCGCATCGCTTTATATCATGATGCAAAATGTAATCATTTTGAATTTCAACGGATAAAAGAGGCGAGTGTTGAAAAATAACAGTAAAAATGATTCTCAGAAACATGATTCTCATAAAAATTTTGACTCAGAAAAATATGCTTTTATTTATTTATTGCATTTGTTAAGTAATAGTACAATAACTTTGTATTTGGTTATTGTCGAAATGGGTTGAGATTTGTTCTCAGTGGTTCTCCGATTACATGAGGTATCTAATATGAGAATTTGTATTATATTATGAGTACAACTAATTGCAAGACAAATTTCTTCTACTGAATATCAGAAATAAATTCTATAAGAATTATTCAAAATAGTCTTCAAGTATTTTGATACTACATTGAAAAGAAGTGTTTAATTTTAAGATTTTTTTTAAATGTTTTACTTTTGTTTTGTAAACACTTAGAGATGTTTAATTTTAAACTTTTTCAGTAAACAGAACAATATGTGGATTTATAACACATAGTATTTTGCTTATTGAAAAAAATGTTAAATTAAATGTTTAAAACACGGAGACAAGAATAAAACATTTTAATATCTTAAAATTAAATACATCTTTTTTTTAGTGTAATCATGCATATATATGTATGTATATCTCTTTTAATCTCTTGTAATAAGTCTGCTATAACAGTGATTTTTCTTTCAAAATTGTTGATTCTTTTAAACGTAAATAATGCTTACATTAAATCTTGTATATGTACAACTTACGTAAAGATGAGAAAATAATATTTTTCTTTTTTTTTTGGTCTATGACCTCGCATCAGTTGATACTTAATTTGTGATTACGAAACTATTATGTTTCATAATTACAGCGATTTCATTTTAATCACAGTTTTTGTTGCAAAAATCACGCCTGAGTTCATTTCTTTATATAATCTGTATCGTATGCGACACGTGTGGGAAGCCGTTTATCTTTTGCAATATATCAGCACGATGTCGTTTTAATATGGCTTTAAACGATATTTAAGTATTATATTATTACATGTATTTTCAAATTTGTCCTGATCATATCATTTTTAATGCGTCGAGGTAGCATATTGATATTAGCGAGCTTTCACATCAGCATGATAAGGAATTGAACTTTTTTGTCAGTTTTTTGAGATAATATCTCTATCAGATTTAAATATTATGAAAATTAAAATTTGCTTCAAGAGATTGACATGTTTAAAAAAAAAAAAAAAAAATCACACACATTAAAAACGACATAAAATTGAAAGTTGACGATCCTAGAAAGCAGTGTGACTTGGTTGCGAAAGCCACGTTAAAGCGCACGTGCTCCGTTTCCGCAAGATAGGAATAGTATGTCGCAAAGGCGTCGAGATCCTGATTTATAGTTTATACTTTCGTAGCATTGTCGCAACTGTAAAGTATTATTTATCAAAATACGGAAAAGTATTTATTTGTCGTAGATTGTGATAAGAAGCTGAAGAGCTGAAATTATTATTGTTTATGTAATGCATGCGTAATATATGTTTAATTTAATATATATATAATTTTTAACCACTGTCAAGCTAGTACGATCAAATGAACAAAATAAAAAAAAATCTACTGAACTATTTAGTACTCATTTTGATTTATGCTACAAAATATAATTTTGTACCACGTGTCATTTAGAAGAAATTCGTGGTTTTGCTTTATATTTATTAAGTTAGTAAAATCATGGATTGTTCTTCTAAATGGAATGTGGTACAAAATTATGTTTTATAGCACAAATCAGTACTATTATACTTTACATCTGTTTTTATTTTTCTTGTTTCTTTTTTCTTTTAAGAATAAGAATTTTTTTCTTTTGTTCCTGCTTTGTTTGATATTAAATTAGCAGCGGCACGATTTTCTTTAAAATGACATGCGGTATAAAATTATGTTTTGTAGCAAATTATTACAAAATGAACATTAAATAATTCAATATGTCTTTTTCTGTTCATTTGGTCTTGCTAGCTTGACATTAGAAATTAATTTTAACACGTAAGAATGCTTGCACGAATAAATACACGTATAAACGCATCGTTTTAGATACTCGAATATGAAAACGAAAGATTTCCGAGCAATCGGAACTCAACTCGTCATCTTTTATCATACTTCCGGTATTATTTACACACTTTACGCGCCGTGTTGTTTTTATCATTCAGGAAGTGCGACAGAAAAAAGTGGCGCATTGATTTGCATTTGCATTACAATTAGAATACGACGGAGTAAAACCCATTTCTGTTATTTCTTTTTAAAGAAATTTTCATTTCAGAAATACGATGGAAGTCGCTTATGAAAAAATGTATTTACATTTTTCCGTTTCCACGTGATATGTTAACATTGTATGATATCTCTCGGGGTTACATAATTTGGCCATACTGCTATTGGAAATCATTATTTATATAAAGAAAAAGAGAGAGAAAGAGAGAGAAGAAAAAAGAGACTATTAAGTATTATAAGTTTCCTTAAATATAAAACTACTTCTATTAGCAATATGTCATTCCTTTTGTTCCCGCTAGCGTTTTCCTTTTCCGTACGAAAAATAAATTGGAGAAAACTGAATAAAATTCACGATCTGATTATTATGATGGTTTTTTTCCTCTTTGTTGTAGCCACAAGAAAAAGGACGATACATACTCGAATATGTGTGCAAACAACTCAACATTTTGGAGATGGATTACTTCGGACTTCGTTACGTCGATAAAGAAAGGGAAAGAGTAAGTGTGCGTTTATAAAGTGATGAATTTTTAAGAAAACGCGACTCTCAAGATGTCATATTTCTGATTTTTTTTTTGCTTGATTTGGCGTTTCAGAATATCTTCACGTGCGTATCAAAATCGAACATACAATTTTCGCAATACGTGTATTATACAGTATTCGTGTAATTATCTTGTTCTTTTTTAATGTTACTCTATCGAATGATGGTCGACTCATTTGCGGAAGACGGAAAGATCTCTGTCATGCAATTAAATTCGCTCTACTAACACCTGGAATGGCATGTCGTGCGCCGTACATCGTAATCGTTATTCTTAGGTCATCGATGTAATTCCGGAGGACTTAAAAATAGGCGTGCCTTGAAATACTAACGATTCACCGTAGTACACTGTTGTACTTCGCTTGTGAACACGCGTTTTAACGGTTAATCATTTATTCCACTCCTTTCCATCCGTAATATCTCAAATTAAAACTTACGCAATTAAATTGCTATTTTCAAGTATTAAGACATGTTATTAAATTTGTCATGGAAATAACAATAACTGTTGCATCTACCATAGTAATTGTTTGTGACAAATTTCATTTAAGATAAAAAAGGAAAAAAAGATTTATCGATCTCAAAATAATATTTATATCGTTTCATTTAATAACGATGCGTTTCAACGCATTGATCCAACGATTCCAGGCTAGAGGGTATAAATCTAATTTACCTTATAAATGTTCGATCGTCACGAAGACCTGCAAACGCGTGGAAATGTTAACGTATGTTTTTAAATATATGTACGTATGACATATTTTGCAATTACATCGATATTCAGTATCATGTTGAAATTAATAACAACTGAAGAGAAAAATAATAACTACAATATTACAAAAATAAAAATCATACGCACAATTAACTTGTTTTATTTTGCGAATGTATAGTCATTGTGTTTTTAACAAAAGTCGATATTTATAATAAACATGTTCAATCAATACATTCATATCAAGTTGTAATTCGCAGTTAAGCAAAAATTCAGAATTTTTTCATGATTGCTTGCTTTTTTATTTCCAATGAGTTAGTCTACCTTAAACGAACGTGTACTTTTACTTAAATCCAAATGGATGGAGTGCGCTGGGAAAAGCCGTGAATCTTAATTTCGGTTGCAGAAGATTTAATCCAGAATGAAAATTGTGTTAATTTTAACACAAATCTGAGAGATCAGTAATTTTTCATTCTTTCCTTCGCATTTAAAGTAATATTTTTCAATTTTTTTCCATAAGAAATTATCATTTTACTGAATGAATCGTGCGTGCGTGCGTGCGTGCGCGCGTGTGTGTGTGTGTGCGTGCGTGTGTGTGTGTGTGTGTGTGTGTGTGGTGTGTGTGTACATATATGTATAGTCTTTAAAATAATGCGAAATAAACTCAAGAGAATACACGCGAGGCTCTACATAATTTTCACGGAATTATTTTTATTTCTCGTTTTTTAGCGGAAGATCTCGCGATCTCGGTGTAAAACAGCATCCAAGTTCTGGTCTTCCCGTTTAAGGCCTGGTGAAATCAATATTGTCCGTCCGGACATCCGCAAATGTTCCATCTTTAAAAATTAACGTGCCGCACCCTATCCTCAAGCTATTCTTCGCTTCCGCCATTTTCTTATTTCGTAATTCAATTCATGCCGTACGAGCAGAAATTTTTTAATAGGAATTGTAAATATTCTTTCAGCATATTTGCGCAGTGCGACAATTTTTAAAGTTTGCACTTTCGATAAGCGACAATGAACCCCGAAAGAGATACGTGTCACCTATAAATCCTGCGAGAATAATAAATTGTATCGTATGTCATATCGATTGTTACTACCCTAAGCGGCACCTGCAGAGTCCTATCTATTCATTTTTTAAAGGTGGCCATTGTAACGCTTAAAGAGATATAGGATAAAATCATAAATCTATTTGCTCCATTTTATCCTCTTGTATAAATCCACTAAATAGTTTGAAGTGATCTGTAATTGCTCGGTGCAACTGATCCTTGATCTGATATATTATAGATTCCTAAAACTCATCGCGTAAATCTCTATTTATATAACAGCTTAGTTGCAACAATTATCTTTTGTGAAAGCAACTAATTCGACGATATAATATAGTTTACGCACTTGCGTTAGAAAAACCAACGTGATGGTCTTCAATCTTTATATACTAATCTCGTTGAAACAGTATGAGAACAGATTTCATACTGTTGGTATAATTTCTGGTAAATGTCATACTTACGAGCGAACGTGGATTGTTACGATAGTATCATTAGAGACGCTTATTAGAGACAAAATTTTACGACGAACTTTTTTTGTTTCTCGTTCTTGCGCGGGATAGTTACACAAATTGGATAGCATTAGCATTAGCTACGTCAAGAAAAGCGGTCAAAAAACAAGATATCACTCGAAGTATCTTAAATTTATGTTATAAATATAAATATTTAAATATATAGAATATTTGTTAGACTAACTTGTTAAACTAGTGTCGATTAATGGTAAATAAATGATAACAATTTTTAGTAAACATTCGCAACAGTATTGCGGTCATCTTACGTATTTATAAGTTCTCTCTTGTTTATGTTACATGTATATATATATATTATGTATTTGATTATTTCTTATTTTGCAGCATTGGTTGGACCTAGCGAAAACGGCAATCAAGCAAGTGAAAGGTTGGTATTACTCGGAATTTAATAAACTTTTACGTATGTGGGCGTACTATGCAGATCTTTAACTTGCAGAGACTTTATCTATTTGACAAGTAGGGGTGCTTAGAATACTTAAACATTTTTTTAAATTTTATTACATTTTTTACTAGTATATTATGTTATAATTAAATTTATTTATTTATTAGCTTATGTATCCTTATAAGATAGAAAAATAATGGAAAATAATGAACTCAAGACTTCTAGGCAATACCTTTTTCCTTTTCTAAAATAAGATATAAAAAATTATACTTGAAAAATTATAATTAAAATGCTGTGGTCACTCCATTTATTTATTTAAATCTAGTTTTTAATTTTCTGATTGACTTGTAATTAGACTCAGTCTAATGATATTGTAAAAATTGTATTTTTCTAGTTATTGATTATAAATTGATGATATTGTAGTGAGTAATTTTTAAAGTTATTACACATACACACTACGAAACTATCAGTGATTAACCATAGTTACAAAAATAAATAAATAATAAATTTTACATTATCATTGGGTTAAGTAAGATTATGTTTAAGCTTTAAATTAGAAAATGAAAATGGAAAACCTATGTGTATCTCTATTCTATTCTATTTTCGAAGAGGTGCATACCGAGCATTCTCCCGCTCAAATTGCAACAACTATCTCATTCGTAACATGGCGTAACACGAGGCCATTAACTATACGCAACGGATATGACTGTAATCCGAAACACACAAATCGGCGCCGAGCAAACGTCTTATTATGCTCGGAAGCAATCTCGTTCTGCCACGGAAATTCTATACTGTCACAAAAGCGTTCCTCATAGTTGATCGGCCATAATGACGTTGCCATGTAGAGAACGCAGGTATCAGCGGAACAGCTGTGACCGAGGTAGGTCGATCGTACGACTTTTCCCTCCCGCGTCCGATTACGTCGGTCGATGTCACATGAAAGTTTCAAGCAGTCGCGACCCGCTGGCCTATTCTCGTAAACTTGAACGGACTTCAGAGCAGACCTGTCCAAAAGGGTTAAGATATTTTTTTTTCTTCTAAAACTCGGCCCAGCAATCACGCAATCCGTTTGAATAAATAAAAATTCTCTCTAAAATCCTCGGAGTGGTATATTAATTAATATATAATAATAATAATGTAATAATTCTAAATAGTGACAATTGAATCAGTATTGAGCAAAAAAGTGGCTCACTTGTTAATTTTTAAAAGTGAGATTTTACTCTTTAAGCTCACTTTAGACGATCTATAATTCGCGATCAAATTCGGAACAGAATTCTATTTATAATTTTGTGTGTCGTGTAACATAGAAATTAATGAAGAAGTAAAATACATACACAGAAAATATATATCACTGATATATGTATATTTTTTCTATATGTGTATATTTTATTTCTTTAACACGTTGAATGCCACATTAATATTACATGATTTGCCCAAATGCATGATTTGCACAATACTGCATTAATTTCTTCATACTATTGTAATAACGATGATAATATTAAAAAGTTTAGAAATATTGACATTTATTCGAATTATGTGTTTCTATTAATCTTGACATCGCCGGTGCCTTCCACGCCTTCCACGGTGCTACTGACAAACTGAATGCCAGTCACTGGTGAACTCGTGGCATTTAACGTGTTAAATATTTTCTATGTTACGCGATACGCAAAATAAGATTCCGTCCCGAATTTAGTCATGAATTATGGATAGTCTAAAGTGGTGATAGTCTTTAGAATTAAATTCCATTCTAAAGATTTTAGAGAGTTGGATGTCGCATAATGGTAAAAGGAAAAACAAATACTCTTGCGCTCGCTGAGGGTGCGCGACAAGAGTTGCGGAGATTCCTCTTTGAGCCGAAATTAAGTAAATTCGAAGGGTTAGCTTTGAATTAACATAATAAGAAATATTTCTGGATCACGAATGAGCGTTTTTGTCGCGTACCTGTTGATCTTAATGCTCATAGAGTTGATAGAATTAATGTATGATATATTTACATTATAAATGCATTTGTATTTAATTGTATGTATAATATAAAGCAAGCTTGACACAAGATCGAAACATAACTTGTTTGATTGATATTCCATATATTTTACGGAAGGTCAACGCTAGAGACAGCTCGCGAGAATTTTATATCTGTCGAAGGCAACGAGCTGTAATGATACCATATCGAATGGGATCATGACCTCGCATTATGGAGGCGGCAACGTTATGTTATCGCGAGTATAGAGCTCGATTTGCATCAGCGATGCGTTCGTAAGTGTATATTTGCGTCAGCTGATATTTCTCTTATTTGTATAAAATAAATATCTACGTGGTTTTGCGCGAACGTTCTCCCTCTACGAAATACCTATACGTATATGGCAAAATAATAAAAATCATAAAATCTATCATAAAATGTGTAAGCTCAATTGTTAATTTTTAAGAGTGAGATTTCATTCTTTAAGCTCACTTTAGGCGGTCTATAATTTGCGATCAAATTCAGAACTGAATTCTATTTATATAATTTTGTCGTGTAACTTCGAAAACATTTGAAGAGGTAAATATATACGTAGAAAATATATATACACATTCATAAAATGTGAACTTACAAACATTGCATTCCCACATGTGAAACCATTAGTCTGCTACTACCGTCATTGTCCGTTTTCATCTCTGTCTTCGTTGAAGTGTTTTTATACGCGTAGGATATACTAGCAAATGCTATTTTCTTTGAGATTGCATGTGTCGATTGTTGTTCTAAGAAGAGAAAGAAGGTCGATATCACTCTATTAAAAGATTAGTTATTGAGAAGATCGATATACATAACGCTCTATTAAATTATTTCAAAATTTGTATTATAAAATTATATTGAATTGCATGTAATCCAATTGTTGCGTTCTTTGTAATAAATATACAATGATATATGTATATGTGTGTAACGAAGGAGATTTAATAAGTAATGATTTTTGCAGTATGGATAGGAATATTATTGTACAAAACATAAGTAATGCAGGATTTTTGGAATATGACTAGCATATTATACTAAAATACAGAGATTCGAGCAATATTTATACTGTCAACTTATAAGTAATTTAAGCACTGAGAAAAATTTCTGATTGAAAATGGATGAATGATTATATCAGAATTCTGACTTGATCTCAACTTCAACAAGAATTTAATAAATTTACTCAGAAAATTCTGATTTGTCAATTTTTAAATAGAATTAATTCTAACTAAATTCTTTCTAGTGCGACTATGTGTAATCATATTATTAATTAAATACTGTTAATCATACTATTAATTAATTAATCATACTGTTACTATATTTACATAGATTATAATATACGGTTATATATTTATGATGATTTTGTATGGAAGGGAATAAATATGAATTTAGCATATTTATGTTAGCTTGATTTAAAATATATTGAAAAGTTTACCGAATGTCAGTTGCGAGTGTTTTTCTTGCACGACAAAAGTACACAAGTCGTAAGTGAAGATGTTGGTTGGCTGAAACATATCCGACCTTTTACTGTCATTATATTTCAGATATGCACGAGATTTTGCTGTGCTTTCGCGTGAAATTCTACCCGCCTGATCCTCTGCGTCTAAAGGAGGAGATCACCAGGTATCAAGTATACCAGCAGCTCAAAAGGGACCTGCTTTACGGACGTTTGTGTTGCAGCCCCGGCGAGGCAGCGCTGCTAGTGGCTTGCATCGTGCAAAGTAAGTTTGTTCTTTTGGTCATCCTTCGTTGATTTTTTATTTTCGAATTTTATATCATAATGTCGTGTCTTAATGGCAGAAAAGGTAATGAAGTGCAAGAATAACTCATTTCACCCGGATCTTAAGCTTTACGCTGAAAGGATGTTTTAGTCTTTATAAACGAAAAAAAGACTTTTATTTCTCTCATATAATTGTCTATTATTTTTTATTTAAAATCGTATTTTGCTTTTCAATCTTATTTTCTGTTAATCAAAAATATTTATTACGAAATTGTGTTAATTTAGTGAAAATTCTTGGAAAGTAGCCGAATTAAATAATTATAACTGGCGATTATAAATACGATTATAAATACGATTAGTATGATTATTTTATATCTAATATTGGATTCGTGAACAATAAACGATCATGATGTTTGCAGCCATATAGTTTCTGCAGCTTCAGCTTCTCTCCGTTTCATGTGTCCATTCGGTCAATTTATTCCTTTATCTCGACTTCGGGAATCCCATAATTCAGGATTTCCTTTCCAGTGACCTATCACAGTTATCATGTATCACCCACCCCTTCCATTGATCGTCGCCCATCGATCGTGCAACACCATTTCCGTAAAATATACGACTGCATGGCTTTGCGTTTATTTTCTCTGAAGTTCATCCAAAAAAAATTGTCAGTTAATACTTCGAATCTGTCAACGTCTCTCGTGAAAAACGATTAAGCGTGTTTTGAAGTAAAGTCGATAGATGAATAATGGGTACTGTTCAAATACAGATTAATCAATTTCGCTACTAGATTAATTAATATCAAGTCACATTCATCAGTCTTTACGTATTTGTACATGCATACGTCGTTAAATTTAGTTCCTTGTGATTTAGCGAGAAATGCAACTGTCTATTTACGGAATCTCAGATTGCGATCGAAGTTAGTCTAAAAAGTAACCTTCCAGAGTCGGTGTCCTTTTATAGGTATAAATGCGGAATCAATCTTTTTGTCTTACGATCTCGTTATTGAGAAGTAAGAGAGCAATCAATGACCCGTCACTTTCCACCGTACCCGATCGTGACTCTTTGTATTAAAACTTCGGTCGTCGACCATCAATTCTTAGATCGTTCACCTTCCAGTGAATCGTGGCCGCAGCTATAAAAACTATTCGCTTTCCGTTGGATCTTTTTGCTGACCTTGGCAATAGCTGTTCTTGTACGTTTCTCGTAACGGAACGCAATCGGTATGCGTTTCTCCTATTTGCTAAAGTAGACCGTTTTTCATGTGCAGATTCCTCGCACGTTCTTCAAAATAAATGCCTTCTTTTATATACATAAGACAGGGTTTTATCAATTAAAAAAGATAGGAACTGCCGTAGATTAATTTGATATTTCGAGAAGATTTGTTTGCTTTCCCGTCATTTGTCTTTAACATCCGGTTCATGCAACAGTCATTTCTCAATTGCGGACGATTTATATCCAGTCGTGCACGCCCTGTTGCAATTTGAGTAATAGCCGCGATGAGCGCTTATTATTTTTCTAACTATCTGCCATGCGATCTCAGAATGTACTCAATAATTACTCTCATCAAGCACCTCTTTCTAATAGGAACTAGATTTACAAAAAAGGTTTTTCTAAATTTTAGAAATCTACACGAAAAGGAAGATTTTGCTGAAGCATGTAAAAATTTAACTAACTACAGATCTGAAAATAATTTTGTTGTATCAACATCAAAATAATATAGGATGCTCTAAACTAGTTGTTACATCAAAATTCTTTGCAGCATTTTGATAGTCCAATCAAATTATTTGTTAGATCTGTATCTAGTTAAATTTTTTAATATTTCAGCCAAGTCGTTCTTTTTATGTACAATTTATGATCATCTTCAATTTCATATTTCATCGTATTTTCTTCGATATCAATAAAACGAATAAACTCTGTGTATAGAATATTTATGTGAAATAAAGAATGAGAAGAAACGCGCAATTGATATTTATGAGACGGCCTTTCTTTTCCGGAATTCTCAGGTGAACTGGGAGATTACGATCCCGAGATCCACGAAGGGAACTATATCTCCGAGCACAAATTGCTGAAAACGCAGACACAGACGATCGAGGATAAAGCGATGGACCTACATCAGACTCAGTTGAAGGGGTTCACTCCGGAACAGGCGGAAAACTACTTCCTTAGGATAGCCTCGCAATTAGACACGTACGCGGTTGATCCACATCCGGTCAAGGTAATGTTCGTTATTTTTACACGCTCCTTAAAACATCGAGTCAATGTAATATCAAAGGATTTCAATTCAGAAATTTGTTCTTTCACTTTCGTTTCACTTACTCGTTTACGAATATCACTAACAGAATCTGGAAACTTGGTATTTGAACTTTTATCAAAGAAAAATCCCAAAATGGGTCGAATGTTGACTCAATAGTAGTCGAAGTGCAGTTGTGATCAACAATGTGGACGACAACATTGTCGAGGAACAAACTTGAAAGTTGCTAACGGGTTGATAGCGTGACTAACTAAAGTGAGCTCTCATGGCCGTTTCCTTTCGTGATGCTAATAACGCCCTTCTTTATTTCCGGCAATATGTTTCAATCCGTTAGCGATGTACTGTTGTCCTTTGACGCAACCATAAATTGCTTCTTACGCGATTCTTTATGAGTGATGTCTGTTCACTTTGTTTGAAAATTTAAGGCCGATCAATGATTTAATGTTGTAATCATTGTGATATAAGAAGACCATGAATCAATTTTATGAAGCACAGTCATTCAAAGTAATGACATTATTTGTGACCAATTAGAGATTTATCTCAAATTTTATAAGCCAATGTAAAGCCGCTATTAAAACGCCAATAAACATTTTTTCTTACGCGATTCTTTATGAGTGACATCTGTTCACTTTGTTTGAAAATTTAAGGCCGATCAATGATTTAATGTTGTAATCATGATATAAGAAGACCATGAATCAATTTCATGAAGCACGTTCAAAGTAATGACATTATTTATGACCAATCAGAGATTGATTTCAAATTTTATAAGCCAATGTAAAGCCACTATTAGAAATTTGCTAATCAGAAATTTCTCTCAAATTATATTCAGCGTTATTAACGGAATACAATTATATTTTTGATAATCTTTTTTGCTCGGGAAATTTGAGATTTTAAATTATAATATTTGCTTTGCAATCACTTTGATTATTATTACAAATAATTTCAAGATCCAAGATCAAAAAGAGTTGTTCCATTTTATTCTATTCTTATCAAAAATGCAGATTACAATCCGAGTGCAAGAATAACGTTTTAGCGCAAGTTTTGAGATCGATGAATGCAGATTAATAAATTCGAACACGTATAGCTATTGCATTTATAGTCGTATATCTCGTCTATGTCGATAAGAGTTTATAACCGGTTTATCTTCCTTGCGAGAGAACGATCGCGCTTTGTATGCTTGTTTCATAAATTGGCGACTTTTTTTATTTCGCCACGATATTCCACTGCTTTAAAATATTCAAACGTGTCTGAATCTAGTTACATTTCGATTATTGCTATGTGATAACTAAATATCTTGAATGTTACTGCGTTATTATCGTGTATAACTGTAAAACATAAGTTATATGTATAACTTGAGAGCACATATTACAAATTTCAATATAAATATTATTAATATAAGCTAAAGCGTAGTTACATAGGGATACTAAATACAGATTTCCATTTACTCGTCTATCATTTAGTTTGCAATTTAATTTACAATAATTTCAAATCGTCCGGACTTCATTTTTCATGACGGAACAATTTTGCAAGCTAGAAAACGTTTTCAGAGATAACCGATTTTAGCTGCTATTGACGTCTCTGCCAATATCACAAAATATGAAGCAACATTCATTGATATTCAAACGAAAAGCAAGTCTTCCACGGGATTTCCTCAAAAGCGCGTCTATTATAGTATATGCTGTCGACAACCGATTGAGGATTCATTCGTTGAAACATCTTTATCCGATTGTTACCGTGATATATATCATCGCATATATTAGCCTCCTTATACGAATCAATATATGAATCAAGAAGAACACAATTGGAAAATTTATGTTAAATTGAACGTATTTTACGTATCCCAAACGATCCATTCAAATTTTAATGTTAATTTAATACAAAATGAATATGTTAATAACACAAATATAAGATAAAAAAAATTAACACAAGAAAGTAATACTGATTTATAACCAAAATGTAAAAGCATTTTTTTTTTTAGTAGAATTAATATTTACGATATATTAAATTAACACGTATTTCATTTATTTGTCTTAGAATTTCGTTTCAAAACACAATATTTTTATGTTATTTATTAACTTACTCATAAATTGTGTTATTTTTACACTGTTGAATATCCAGTTTGACACAAAATATTCACATAACATAATCTCATTATATTCAATTAACATTCGAATATTAAAAACGCAACACAAAATTTTAACAAGATTTTTTAACAAGGAGTGAACCGTTTCCAACACAAATACAAAATATTTTTACTATGTGAACATTTCAGAAGTAGAGAAGTTATCACTAGGAAATGTATTATGTAAGTATATTATATAACGTCTTGCATTATTTCTATTTATATACAAGATGTAAGAACATTCTTAAAATCCTATTCCAAGTGATGAAATAATCTATCTCCTAAGCGATAAAATTTTAATATTAAAATCTCTTTATCACCGACATATTTTCAATATTGCTAATGCAATGTACTCTATTGTAATTAATGTCTCGGTCGATCGATACGCCCATTGAAACCACTGTTGTTATCTTTGCCGGGATCCTCTCGCTGACAAATAAATTGCGATATATACGACTCAACAGTAAACTAACATCTCATGTTCCGAGGAATCGTTCGTGAGGAAAAACAACCCGCTATTATTCATCACGATGCATTCATTGCACTCTTGTCGCGAGTGGCGAGTATTTGATGACGTGCACTTGTCGTTTATTGGTTTTTTACTTCCTGCCTGCATGGCGACATTTTCGCTGAAGAAGTAATCGCGATCCACTGTTGCGACCGTCTTCCGTTTAAGGGAAAATGCCATTTTTATGGCGCGACGTCATGACTATGAGACATAGTTCTCACTTATACTCGAGAAAGGATACCTGCACACTCGTCTGCAAAGTATCTGTTTCACGTGCAAAACGTCTCATTGGTCGTCATGAGGTACGATGTTCTTATCGGAAAAGGTCGACAATGAAGCATTGAATAAATCGTGGAAAGAAAAAAACTCATTGAAGAAATAGATAGAGAGCGAATAATAATTACAAATATAATTGCTGTTCATTTTAATAAAAAAAGTTTTCCATGTAATTGGTTTTTTATCTGGAAGAGTAACTATATGTATATGCAAATTGTTTTCCCTACGTTATCGATAAAAATTTAACACAATTTCCGATGTAAATAAAAAGTGACGTAACGATTGAATTTCAGGATAATCCTCCCATAGCGAATGCATTAACTAAATGGAAATTTTTCTTAAATTCTCTCTCGCATTATCCATACGAACATTGCATTGCGTTTCTGACCACGTTGCGATTTTATTTTCTGATAAATACGTTTGTGTTACATTTACAGGATCCCGACAAGGGCACGCAGCTTCATTTAGGCATTAATCACTGTGGAATTCTAACATTCCAAGACTCACGAAAAATTCAGCATTTCCGCTGGTCGGAAGTTCAAAAGATCAATTTTGAAGGAAAGATGTTTATTGTGCATGTGACGATAAATGAGGTAAGCATATTTATTGTTGACTGGATACTACGCTCTACCGGATGAAAACGACGAAGAGACGCGGCGGAATATTTCACATCTAGATAATTAAAATTTTCCACACAAATTTTCATTTTTAATACTATGTTATAATGTATAAAAGAACTTTGTAATATCGTTTTTAATATCGTTTTTGCTGAAATTGAATTGTATTAAGCATATTATATGGAAAATATAAACGTGAGAATAATACCTAATAAGACGCAAGCTTATTAGATGTATCGCGTGATGCGTTGCATGAAGTCAAACGTAAATGAAGTTTTTTAATATTGAATCGTTATTTGGTTCTAAAATTCGTACAATTTGTAGTGCTCGTATGAATGTTAGAATCGGCAGGAGTGCGGACAACTTATCTGCATCTCATTCGCGATACAGATACACATCTATACCATAGTTTGCCTTGTAGAAGAAATACGTGTATTTTGCCACAATATCTTTTTGATTTTTTTCTTTCTATAAAACTATGAAGGCTACAGAGCCGAATTTTACAATTTGCTTATTAAAACATTATAATAAATAAAATTATCTGCACTGTAAATCCTTTTGCAGTGGAATTTATAAAGAGTGAGATTCCATTCCAAAGAATTTAAAGATCACCTCTCAACTATTTTATAGCAGATTATATAATGAGATATCAGAACGAATTTTTATTTTATTTTATTTTTTTTTTTTTTCAAAAAATTGCTTTATACTATTATTGTGTGAGACTTTTCTTATTATGAATATTGCAATTACATTGTGATTTTCTCAGAGCATTTTAATCATAAATTTAGTCGAAAGAAATTTCCCTTTGATAGAGGTCTCTTCTTGCCGACTTTTAAACACACAACGGTAACAAGGTCTTTGTCGTATTAAGAGATCTTCGTCGGAATTATTTAATCGTTTTTCGTATCGTGTTATGCAGTTTGGACCTTTTTAAGCCTTTGGAAAACCTTGTTTTATCTCGACATTATTTCTAATTACGAACACTACGTATACTATTATGTTACAATAATTGCACGTGAAAATGCGCTCTCATTCGTGCATGATTCGGTCGCGTGTAACGTATGCGTGCAATATGTGCATATGACGTCAGATACTACGTGATTGTAAATTAAGTAATCCTATTGTTTCTCTCTGCTGAACTCGTGCAGGACGTGAGGACAAAGGTAAGTTAGAGAGCGATTTTAATACAAGTACTTAACTATTATAACTAATATAGAAAAAAAAGTCAGAAAAACACGTCGAAGAAAAAAATCATCTTAAAAAACGATCTTAAATAATTTCTATGCGTGTTTGTATGATTTGCGTTTATCAAAATATGAAATAATACAGATGCTTTTAGGAGATGCGTATCTCGTGACTCACGTCGTCCCCTGCGAATAAATGTTTCTTATCTCACGAAACCTTTTGCCTTCCCATTATTTCTCCTTGAGTAATAAAACTAGAAATAAAATAGCTGTCTTTGTCATTTTAAAACTATACATTTTTACAGAATATCGGTCTCATTTTCAAATTGGAAATTCAGGCCACGAAAGACGTGGCGGATCGTGAACTTCGAATCAATAATATTCACTTTATTCTATTTTGTGATTGTACGCGACGTGACGTTGCAATATTCTGAAACAAATGATTGTCATCGTGCAATCGTTAAAGAATATCATCATCGATCGTTAAAATAAGATACAGTATTAATTAATCTACTCATTTTTTTTTTCCTATTTATTTATCTTGTTCGAAGTGCAAAGATAATATCTATTTTTTGTTGATTTTATTTTGCAAAAATGCATGCAAATATTTGCTCACATAATATGTATAACGTCAAGATAGAATATTTTTCGAGCGTCTTCGTATTTGCAATTTTCAGAAAAAGCATCTCGTCGGGTTCAAATGTCCCACAGCAACGAACTGTCGTCACGTGTGGCGGTGCGCCATCGAGCAGATGCTGTTTTTTACGTGAGTACCTCTTTTACTCGTATTTCCCCTGAAAGCACGTATGAGATTTATTATGTTTTACATCACATGGCATTTTTACTACTTATGGAGAAGCTTTTACATCCATTCACGTGCATATTCCTGTATATTAATGATTCAAATTGCGCATTGCGCATGATGCTTATACATTTTAAATAAAAGACAAGTATTTTTTATTTTATAATATTATTTCCGACTTTTCCGAGGTTTTTTTTTATTCGATGCTGCATTCGAATCGCTATGCGAAGGTGCTGTGCAGACGGAACTGTTAATCTCTTTTTCATGAAAATTTAGTAACGATCAATCAGTTGCAGATCCCCTTAGCTTTTCGTATCAAGTTGAAATTTGAGCAAAGTTTGTAAAATGTCTTCCGGCGCATTTTGGCTACGTCGTACGTGTGGCTTTTCCGAAATTTCCGACATAAGTAATTGAACTGAGCTGTAAAAGTAACTCCAATGCCTGTAAAAGATGCATTTGACTCCCGGAAATATTGCTGACACTTACATGCACGGTTTATCGTTACTATCGCGCGGTCAAATTTAATGCTTCTACCACGAGCATTGATGGATGTCCGAACGAACGCTTATATTTATAGAAGTTGTTTCAGCAACGAACATATTTTTTTTCTATTCGTACATCATATCTGTATAGTACATATCTGTATGTAGTGAACATTGCAATTTTACGAATGTCATTTAAATGAATTTGTGCTAAAAGTGAGTATTTCCATGTAGTAAATGTCAAATTTAAAACGAAATTTGCCCTGGACATTTCGTTCGTCAAATATCATCCTATACGAGTTTCAATCAATTTTGCAGTCGTGTAAACACAACGTGGCACTACTTTCAAATAAATATTGTCAATGATAATTCGATCTATGTTTACGATTCAGTGTTCTCAACATTTCACAAAATTGTCAAAATCAAATTAAAAGACACTAATTATACGGAAAATTGCGTCCGGATAAAATGAGTTAGTTTTTAGTTTAGAGGTGAACAAGAGATTATCATAAATAATAATAGGGCTCAATAATTATAATTATAATTTCCCATATAATTATTGCAGAGTTTTTTGTATTTTTCATAATAAAAAGATTCCACTTTTTGAAATTTTTTTACAAAAACAGGAATGTTAAATTCGTCTAATATATTCCTTTCTACATGAAGTTACATCGAAATGAAGATTTGGAAGATTCTGTCATTATAATAAATGGAATCAAAGGATTACTGAAGAGTTGCATGCAATCTTGACATTGGTCTATTTACTCATAGTTGAAGATATACCTGTTTCAAATGTACATTAGAAATGGCAAACAAGGTTAAAATCGCTCGCGGTAAATGACCGTCTTGTCAGGATAATTTGGCTATCATCCAGATAATTAAAGTACAGTTGCAACTTGCAACGTTGATGTTGCCACAAGATAGAATTCACAATAGAAAATCAGCTTTGTTTCAGTTTTAATTATCAATTTTTTTTTTACGAACAATACGACGTTATATTATACGAAGAATTATAACAGCTGTCTACAAGATAGATTGAAAAAATATCCATTTCTTGTAGACATTAAATAAACCTGCATTTGGAATTAAACGCATTAGAGGAAACGATCTGATTAATTAAATAGAGGTATTATCCACACACACACACACACACACACACACACGCACGCACGCACGCACACACACACACACACACACACACACACACACACACACACACACACACACACACACAAGGGGAAAATCAAATTCCTGTGGATTCCACTGAAATTCGGCGAGTTGGCGTTGTCCACAGCAGTTTCGGTCACGGGACTAGCGCACTCTTGCTCCGAGTTTATTCCGTTCAACAAATTTATGCGAACATAAATCCTCTGCTTATAGTTGGATTTCAATGCGAGTGAAGGTCTATTCTCGATACTTGCGATATTTATGCCGCGCCTGTTCGCACGGTGCGGCGTCGCCGGTGCAAGTGAATGAAATTCATGTCTGATGATCCAAACGAGGTGATTAATCGCTCCTGACGATATTCTTTTCGAACAAGTTTAAAAGAGACGTATTCAGAAGCGTTTATCATGGTGATATAATACTGCTGCAAATATATCGAATTAAAATGTATAAATATATGACGACTCTGAGATTAAATCTAATAAAAAATAATCAAAGACAGCCAACGCGAATATTGATGCACAACTTATTGTTAAATTTGTAATTAGCAATTACATAAACAATGTTGCAGTTCTAGCAAATGTTTTTATTAACATTTTTAATCTTCCTCAAAGCTTTAATCATAAACAATTGTGATGATGACATAAACAACATAAATATTATAATAGAATAATAATTATAATAGAATTCGAGTTAGAGTTATAAATATTACATATTCAATAAGCTGATAAAATTTCGTGTCGTATATAACAATCAACGTTAAGAGATTTACATATAATATTTCAATAAATCATTTTGTTATTGCAAGTAACGGTACATATCCGATATCGATTAAAATATAAAGTGTTATATGTATATATATCTAAATATTTATAATTGTAAATATTTAATATTTATAATTATTGATTATCGATCGTACAATATATAGAACGTCATGAATAACTTTTAATGGCTTGATTGTGTGCAGCTTGCCGAGAGCGTCGGATGCGCCGGTGGTAAGTGGCGGCTCTATCTTCTCGTGGGGATACAAATTTAAATATACCGGAAGAACGGAGAGGGAAGTTCTGGAGGAGGCAGGACCACTTCGAAAGGAGGAACCGCCGATACAACGCTGCCAGACGACGTGTTTAAGAAGAAAGGCCAGCAGTGTACCGGCGACCCCCAGCACACCGAGTCAGGATCTCGTCGAAATACGTGAGTAATTTTTTTTCATCGCCACGTAATTTGCATACACTGTTACTTTTTGGTGGTCCACGTTCACGATATTACCATTGTACAGAAAAACGCATGTTTCGCATTTTTCTGTAGATGGGTAATTTCGTGAACACGGACCATCACGCATTTTTCTGTAGAATGATAGACGTTTAGGTAAATTTAGGAATTTGTTGAGGATTTTAATTATTATAATTTTACGCAACGACGTGATTTTTTTATAAAATTGAAAGATATATTTATTGTAAAGTAATTGAAATGCGATCTCTTAATGTATGTACTGTACAAATTTGCTTTCCCTCGCATTTCAGGATATTCCAGCTTACCACGTAGCTGTCACAGTGCGGGCCTGGATGGCACCGGGATGCTGGAGGGCGGTGCGGGGGTTCCTCTCAGCTCGCCCTACTGCCCAGACAATACCTTGCCTCTTCTGGAGACTGTATCCGAGGACCAAGAGATTCACGCCAGGAGAAACAACGGTTAGTTAACGGATCTAATAATCTTTATATCTTTTCTCTCTCTCTCTCTCTCTCTCTCTCTCTCTCTCTCTCTCTCTATCTTTTTTTTTCTTTCTTTATCTATCTCTTTCTCTCTTTCTCCTGTTTGAAACATTGAATTCCCTAATCTTGTTCAGCCTCCTGATCCATTCGAGTCCATCGCCGCGACGCATGAATACACGATATAATAATGAAACAGCAATATATTAACCTGTCAAAAGCTTGTTTGAAAATTGCATTTAAATTTTATAAAGGAGAAATGTATACTTTTAGTTAAATATCAACGATCAAATCAGTAGTTTTAACTCATTATTACTCGCGTGGGATGTCTAGAATGCTCCCGAGCTTATAAATTCACTAAATGTATAAATGCTGTTTATACATATTTAATGCAAATTGTTCTACAATTAAAAAAATTTGTTTATTATTTATTTCTATCTAAAGGATATATAAAATATTAATATTTATTTAATTTTAAATAATAAAAAAGGAATATTGAAAATTAAGATAAAGTTAGAATATCAGAAACATCTCACGCGACTAATTATGTTAAAAAAATCAATCGCGAGTAATGTAAAGTTAAGATACTATAGTAAGAGAGAAAATATTTAGTATTTCTTTGACAGAAATTAGTGCATGACGAAGTATACAGGGTGCGCCACCAAAATCCGGACAAATCGAACAATTTCTTTAAACAAAATGTTTTTAATGAAAAATTAAATATTATAAAAAATCCTTTTACATGGCACTTGGGGGATTCCTGTAGAGCACAATTATTCGATATATTCCCCATTAGCTTGAATGCCTCTATTCTCGGTCTGAAGCGTTCGCACGCACGCTGTAATGTAGCGCTGTCCATGCCGACGAATGCCTCAAAACGGTCTTTAATGACGTCATATTGAGATGCCGAAACTTGTTTGTGATCCTTTCAATATGCGCTCCATAGTAGGAATTTAAATCTGGGCTGTTGGGAGGTCAGAATTCCTTGAACCAAAACATATCGAAGTTATCTGAGAATCAATTTTAAATCAAATGACAACTTATATGAGCTGGTGCACCGTTCTGCTGAAAAATATATTGCCTTCCGGACGCCACAGTTTCCATCCACAGCTTCACTACATCCATCAAAACGCGCAAATACATTTCTTTTGTGACAATTTCCCCTTTTTTTAAAGAAATATGGCATGATCACCCTCATTGGATACCTAGCACGTTGGCCAGAAATTTCATTCTGACAACAAGGGATATCCTCGGAGTTGTAGGCCATCGATCATTCCTCCGGTTGATTTAGACATCAATAGTAAAAATTTTTTTCGTTAGAAAAGAACCTAATTCGTCCCGATGCTTTGTTTTTCAAAGAACACAATAGCAGATTGCAGCGAGCAACTCGGCTTGTTCTGGCAGCTTCAGAGAGCTTCTGTCGTATGTATACGATTTGTATCGAAGTAGAGTATCCTCCTCGGCAATTCGATGCATTGTTGGCTCGCTTACAACAATCGATACTAATTTTCGCAACGATTGCCCTGGGTTATCCGAAATCAGCACTTGAGTCCTTTCAATGATTACGTAAGTTCTCACGGTGCGTTCTTTCGAGTGACTCTTCCTCGCTGGCATACTAGAACCTTCGTTGGACTGTTTTAAAGTCGTATATTTTGTCACAATGTTATGAACGGTTGATCTCGGGTATCCAAAGAACCGAATTATTTCCGTTGCTGAGCGCCCAGCGCGAAGGCCTTTGATGATCCCGGTTCTTCGATTATACTCCTTGGTTTCAACATCGCGGCCATTTTGAGAATATACTGTTTACTAGAAGCATCAGGCTTTCTTGAACAACCAACTGCCAACAACCTTTGGCAGAGGCACAATATAGCGGAAAATTTAAATTGAAATTTGTTCGGATTTTGATGACGTACCCTGTATATAACATGCGAAATTTTCTCTGGTCTGGGAGAGCGAGATAATCTTTCGGTCCTACATCCTTATCGATTTGAAATTAAGCACCCCTTATACCAAAGAAAACAATTGAAAAATTCGAAAATTAGTACATTTATTCATTATTCATTTTTTTTATGTTAAAGGAAGAATTCTAAGTATAAAAATTGAAATAAATCGAATTTCCGGTCGCTCGCATTGCCCGCTTAATCTCGAAGAATAAATATCGATCATGCATTGAGCGTTTATAAGCGACGCGTATAACCGAGAAAAACCTCTTTTTTTTTTTACGGGATTGCCGCCGCCGCTTCTTTGGCTTTTTAGAACTTTCGGTTGATTTGTTTTCTCCTTTTCTTTCTGTTCTTTTAGCCGTAGACGAAAATGATACGCATGCGAGTGCCACCCACACGTCTACTACTACCATCACCACCACCACTACCACCATCACCACTTCCAACACCATCACCACAAACCGTGCGAAAGCCAAACTGAAATTTCCCAAGAGCACGCTGAACCGACCGCAACCGTTGTACAGTCAGAAAATAGTGATAGGCTCGGAGGAGCTGGCGGGCCACGACGTCGAGCACGTCGTGCGGCAGCGTATTAACGCCCTGATTAACGAGCGATGCCCGATGGTAGTGCGATCGACCGCCCTGATAATCAAGAGCTCGAAGGCGCCGGCGAGCGCAAACGGACGGATCCCTGTCAGAAGCGTGCGTTCCGCGCACGACGATAAAACACGGGTAGAGGTAAGCAAGATCGACGGCAAGCTAGGCCGCGAAGCGACAACGAAGACCGCCAACGGTTGCGCGAATCTGGCCGCGAGGCCAGGACTGTCGAATGGATTCGATCATTCGGGACAACGGGAGGCAGCAGGTAAGCACGAAGACCCCAGGATGAAACATCAAAGACCTTGGGTGCATTCATTTACGCAGCAATTAGCACAGAGAGTATCATTTAATCCCTGTTTAACACTTGGTGAACAACAAGGATAAAGTAATACTTTTGCGTTAACCGCTGCGTAAACGAATGTAGGGCTTCCATTTCCTTCTTCTGTCCTGCTTCCTCTGTCTCTTTTTCTGTCAATTGCGTATGGTTGCGTATTAAACCTCGCCTCTCCTGTGCTCCTACTGTGTACGTCGTTATTGTTGGAGTTGGACTCTGCTTTGTTACCTTGCGTCTTCCTTTATGTTACGCTTCGACTATTGCGGTCTGCATGGGCTTGCGCCTGTTAACGTATACAAACAGACACATCCGATACATTGAATCTATGATTCCTGAATCCGTGACATATAATAGTGAATCCGCGAGATATTTTGACCATCGTACTTTGCTAATTGGTTATTGGATAAAACCACTTTTGGATATCTCGAATATTCAGGAATATTCACTGAAAGATTCCCTTTATATAGCCAAGTTCCGAGTATGATGGTTAAATTGATAAAATAACGATCGCAATTATAAAAGTGTACGATGATTACAGGAGTGCACGCGTATACGTAAATTCACGTAAAGCAGTTTTCTGTCGATTTCCTCTGCAGAGTCACTTTGTAGAGATCGATAATCTAATAACGAATTCAATTGGACTCACTGCGCACTGATACATATTAAAACTACGGTACATAATGTAAAGATATTAGATATGTGTTTAATATAAGTATAAATACAGGTTAAATTCTTCACGTGAAATTCTCAATACATTTTATTCTCAATACATTTTATTGTGCTGTTAAGTAAAATATGTATCTTATAATTCAAAATAATTCCATTTCACTTTTAAATTCAGATTAATCAATATACACTTTAATATGCACTGATACGTCCAACCGAATTCGCTATTATTCTCCTCTGAACGGGCCATTATTACGAAATCTTTTTTGTATGCATTATTTTTTGAATGAAATTACAAATTGAATGAGATTAGAAATTGTAAAGTTTCCTTTCGAATTCTTCTAACATAACTTTCTAATTTTATTTTAAAAATAATAACATGGTATATCTATTTAATAATTAAACAATCAGATGAGTAGATTGTAACAACGAATCACACAATAGCATTTTTTGTATAAGCAGACAGAAATTATTCCGTCTTGATAACAATGTGATTTATTAGAAATATTTGCAAGTTTGCAAGTTCAAGAATATATTTAAAAGAGTTATTTTATTTTTATCATCTTCTAAATTCGATTGTAATATAAAATGCTTGATATAGATGTTTCTTTATATTTCTTCATATAGATATTTCTTCATATTTATATACTGTATTGATATTTCTTTGTTATTTGTATACAATTAAATTAGTTTATCGCAAAACAGTTATTTCATTCGAGATTTTACATTTATACTTTTCATTCTATATGTAGAATTTTTTTAAGAGTTAAAGCAAAGGAAATATTGTGCTCGAGTAGACAAACGGAAGTGAATCGTTACAAATAAAAGAATTATTTCAGTTGACTTTAGGATGTGATAAAAACTCAGCTAACTCCACGAACACAATCCTAAAACCTCAGAGTGGGATCGTCAGAAAACTCCGCACATGTAACGTCTTCGTCTCTTATGAGTTACTCACTAACACAATCATCCAATAGCATCGATCGCGTCCTTTTTGTTTCAGTCGGTCAGCACGAGGGCGAGGCGAACGATTACTACTTCAGAGACTCCTTCGACCATTCCTCGTCGGAAAGCCAGTTGTTGGACGCGTCCGGTAAGCCGCATAGCCGTTCGGTCACACCGGTACCGAAGATGCAAAAACTGCAAAATTCCAAGCTCTGCCTTCAACAGCAGCAGCATCATCAGCAGCAACATCAGGGCGTCCGACGCATGGCTAGTAGCAAGATCAAACATAGGAGTTTGCATGTGATCAGGATCTTTATACCGGCGTTTATGCTGACGATCACGGTGCTGTTCATTGTGACAGTACTGGTGTTCGAGACGGACACAACGCTGTTCAACAGCTTGCGTAAGACGCCAGAAATGGTGGCCTTAAGGAGCCAATATTATGTTCCAATCAAGGAGTTCCTGCGGACCAAGCTCGGCCTATTCTGATGTGACAAGATGACCGGACCAAAGTCGTCCTACGTCATCGTGTAGCTTGCTCTCCCTTCAGTGCCAAGTTGCTAGGATGGACTTGTGATTGAGAGTATTTACGGTCCACAAGTCACGGAGAAAAGAACATGCACCTCCTTTCCCTATTATTCCCTTCTTCGTTCTTATCTTCCTTCCCTCGTTGCGCGCTATCGCAACTTGGTTGCACGAACGTAAGTGCTTCAGACCGAATAGATCAAGTGCTACCGGAAGCAGAAGAGAGACGAGAAATATCGCGTTGAAGGGATCAGCCGAGGTTCGAATCTCACGTGAAGAATGCATTCCGAATTCTAATTCAGTCGATAGGAAATCGGAATTCTGTATAAAAAAACAAACTGTACAAAGATTATATTTAATCGAGATGTAAGCAGGATGTATAAAACTGTGTTTATGCGTTTTTTTTTACTGTAATACGCTTATTGTTTTTACGAAAAGTGTTTTACAACTACGCGTTTTATTTTATTAAGTTTCCTTATTATTTAACTTCTCATTATTTAACTCGTTTATATCAATCGCTGTTGACTCATTTGCTACTTCAGCAGGATGTAAATCCATAAAATCATATTTATCTTGTATTAATATTAAGTTCCACTAATGAAATAATTTTCTTTTGCAAGAATAATCACAGTATATACTTATTTAATAAACATTAATAATTAATTTATTGAATACATTGGAATATATGTAATAAATTTTAATATATCTTCATATAGTTATAATGTCTAAAAACAATCTTTTGATCATTATTAATCATCGAGTCATCTTAAAAATAGCATTAACTTGATTTTAAAAATTCGTTATAATAAATATATCACATGAAATTGTAGTATTTTGCGTTAGTTGTATTACAATATTTTATTCATGTCATTATTTGAAAAAAAAAGGCAAATTATAAAATTTGGCTATAAAAAGAGCCCGATTTCATTCGGTATAGGTGATATCTTCCGGATTCGGACGTTATGTATACATACATAGTGCAATGTTGGTTATCGAATGGCCTATCGTGTTATTATAAAAAGAACGAATACAGAAGTGCTCTTTCTTCGGAAATTTTCGCAAAATTTTCTTCATGTATGTCCCCGGCGGATAACTAAAAAAACCGCGCAACAACATAAAGCTACATAAGCGCGCTAGTATAATAGACAAAATAAAAATATTTTAACATAGTGAAGAGATGGAAGAAAGAGCATACATACACAAAGGCGAATATGTAATATATTATATATACACGTCACTGACAAGGCGACACTACTTATAAGAACTTTAGATTATTTTAAACCGTCAACGAAAAGCAATCGTTTCGTAGTTAATTGTAGGCTATATGCGTGCAGCTCTAGTACGAAAATAATGAATATTGTGTGACAGCATTAAATTGATGAGGTTCCTCGCTGATTTCGATCCGCTGTCGGTTTCTTTGCGTTCTCAGATGTGCGCGAACATAGATGCGCTTGATGTGCGTAATCACTTTGTCTCGTCATCTTATTCTATTCGCGAGAGTATAACATCCTTCATCGCGGTGTGCAAATTCTTGGTATACATCTTAAGGACATGTCTTTCCTATGAAAGTGAGATCTATCAGGATCTGCCTTTGCGAATATATCACGTTTAATGAAATTATAAGGAATTTTGGGAAAATTTGTCTTTTAATCTTCGCGTTTTACGTAGGAACAAAAATAAATCGAAAAAGAATCGAACAGAATTAAAACAAATTGAATAATTATACAGCACGTATATGTTAATTTCCGATTTTTAGATAAAAAATTTATAGGTAAATTCTAAACTTATTATTTATTTAGAATTATAAACTTATTATTTATTTCTTTCTGCAAGATTGTACACGGTTTACTGAAATCTTATGTAATTGTATGTATACTAAAATGTATACTTGCATATTTATCTGAATACTTTCGTCTATATGAGTAGGTCCTGATTTGTCTTATTACACCTTAGACTGAATGTCCGCTCCAGCGTTTTACTATCGAAACCGGCAAAATTTTCCTGTCGATAACAAAATTCCTGAAGAAAATAATCGACGATTCTCTTGACTTAGACAGTACCATGTCCAAAATCGGAACTTAAGACATCATTAAGACATCTTTTAGATATTATAAGACATCCTAAAGATTAATGAACGTCTTATCTCCCCATTTTGAATAAATATACTAACTGAGGAGAATCTCCATTAATCATACACAGTACAGTTGACACTTGAGAATAAGGACTTCTAACTCTCGAGTGGACACGCAGCCTCATACTGTCAGCCATTTTTCCTAAAAGTGCCTACGCTATCTTACACCCTTTCGTGTCATTCGATTCGCTCGAAATTCGCCCTAAGCTAAACGAAAATAGGGTGACGCGAGGAAAAAGATGAAACAGAAGCTAAGCTAAATTATTGAATTTCCTGTCGATCTTTGTGTCGAAGAGACGCTCTTCTATCCGCGAAATCTATTTATATCTTGTTGATATAGATTCGCAAAATTCTTGAAATTGATTCTGAAAGATTTATCAACTTGAAGGTATTTTCAATGTTGACGAACATGTCGTTGACAAAGTACAGACGACTCTAGAAATTAGAGTAGTAACTGTGCGAAACACGACATTGCTGTTAATAAAGCAACGGAGGTTCGTGAGATTTTGATCTTTCCCAAGTGAGTGATATGCAAAATCTCTCTTCTAATCTATTATTAGCATTGTTAAAGAAAACGAGCATTTCGGAACATGGAACCTTACGAACTTCCGCGGTTCACTAATAAGCCAGCTGGAATGTGATCAGCTTAAATCAAAATTTAATTCGCTTAAATTGGATAATGTAAACGAACGTTAATTCGAGCAAGAAGGTCACGATTCGTTTGACAGTCAAACACTTTTCATTGGAAAAGAAGAGCGTCATAAGCGATAAGCTAGCTAATTGTATAAATAAACGGATGTCAATTGAATATAATGTAATTCTAGTTATTAATTAAAAGTACTCGCTCGTTGAGCAACTCAATGTAAAAAAGAAGAAATTTAAACAATAACGTGTGGATTAAAATGCGAAAAATTGCTACTTTTTAATCCAAATTTGGATGATCCTCTACAAGCAACTTTTGTGAGTGAAATTATCCGATTATGGATATCAAATAAGCAAAAAAAATTTTTTGCGATGTTCATTTGTTATACTCTCCGAGGCTATTCTCTTGACAACAAAATAATTAATGATAAACTTAAGATTATATAATATCCGAGAGTTTATCTTGACAGAATTACTTTCAATTTCCAAATATTCTCCAAGAAGCATATAAAATAATCAGCCTGGGATTCTTGCTTGTAATTATCGTGACTTTCGATTATTAACAATCGCGCTTCGGAGAGTAAAACTAAGACACCCGGTCTAAAATACAGCAAGTCCAAAGAACAGAATCTGGACAATTGTTCGACGCAAAGAATGGAACGGAATGATATTGTGAGTGTTCAAGATTGTCAGTACGTGGCACAGCCTCTGCGCGATACACTTTTCAGAACTTCCCCGATAAAATTAAGTTATTATAGATAGCAGTTGTATATAAGAAGAAGAAAAGTTCTATAACTAGAACGTTAAAATTGTTAAACGTTAGTGGATTATATGGTTTTTGCGCAACGATTGAAGACAGGCAATACGCAGGAGTCTGAAAGATATAGAAGTAACATATGTTTTCAATAATTTAGACCTAGTTAATAACGTAATCGTGCATCGTGCATCGGTGACGAAGTCGATATCAGACGTTATAATTAATAATAGTAACTTGATTCTATAATTTGGGAAATAGTCGAAAATTTAATTTATATCGAGATAGCTAATAGATCATAAACATCTCTTGGTTTAATTTTTAATAAATAAAGAAAAATTGAAATTCTTTTGAGATTATAATTCTATTATACATATGTACGATATTTTGAAATCGTTGTATGATGTAGTTGCGCAGATGTGAAAAATTCAACGTTAAAATATCTCCCTTTTATGATATTCTATTATCAATAAGATTTTTTTGTATCATCGGTTGACATTGTTGCAAGTCACGTTTCGTCCTTTCTATAAATTAATCATAACATAATGCGCGTTGTGAGCATACGGAACTGCAAACGACAGCAATCTTCAATTAAGATTGCGTACATTGCGCGTTTATAAACAATTTGTCTTGTTCTTCGCACGACTGTAAAATCCCAAATTCGTTTTCTCGTTAAGCCGTAAAATTCGTAACACTTTTCTGACGCGCAAATCGGTGATCATATGTACTTGATGCTGAACACACGGTTATACGTCAATTGTTATTGTAATTACTTGATATCGCTGCCGAAATGTGCGGATCTTTATGTAAATGTACATCTAGCCTACTACATTACTTTTAATAGTCGAGTTGTTGAGATTCTCGGGATTTATTCGTTAGATATTTATTTGATAACTTATTGATAAGAGAGTAATTTATTCGCTGTAGCTGCTATGTAAGTGAATTTCAATCGAATCTTTGTACGGACGCGACTGCAGGAATAATTTAACAGAGGGCTAAATACTACGTTGTGTACAAATATGACGGTGGATGTTGGGTGTAAATGCAATGTTAATTAAAAACGGCCGACGTGATGACAAGAATGGAGCTCTGCGCTAATCAAAACGAAATAACGATGATAATCTTTCTACAATCTCCATTCGTATGTACACTTTTTGTACGCTTGCAAATTGTAGCAAACAGTTGTAGTCGTATGAGGGGTGCGTTTTTTTTGGTCTGTTAGTTCTTGAAATTTTGTATCGCATGCATGAATAAACAAAACATTTCATTGCAACGCGCGAAGTGAAATATTTAATAGGATATAACATCCAGAGTTCTGTGGCTTCCTTTCAACAGCAAATCGAACTGCAGATTCCTACATTTAAACTTCCTCCAGCGGATAAAAATAAAATATGAATTGAGCATTAACTTTTGTAGTCATAATTATAATCAGTTATTCAAACTTTGCTGTAAAACAATTGGGAAATGTATAACCCAGGAAACAAGGTGATGTTGTTGTTATTTTGACGACGTCAAATAATATCGGTTTGTTTCCCGGAAAATTAACAAATTTATTTTGTTTAAAGTATAGTACGCGTTATAGTACGCTTATTGAAAATACGAGTAACATAGTATTAACAGAGATACCAAAGTTGACAGCAAAGTAATCTAATCGACAAAGATGATAACAAAAAATTACAACAACGCCTTACTTAGTCACGCGCGCAATTTAAAAGCGAAGATATCATTTCGTCAATATATAACATCACGAATGAGACCGCATAATGCGATGTGCAGATATAATTGTGATTCATCGTGTCGTGATTAAAAAAATCGTGGTCGCCGTTTTTTCCGTTCCTCATA